CACGGGAGGGGTGAGGCTCGAGGCTGAGCTGCCCAGGGGTGATGGAGCAGCTGTTTATTACTGCAGCTCCTTCCAGCTCCTCTCCCATTATCTTCCATCTCTCGGAACTCCGGGGCTTTTCCCTGCGTATCTGGAGTTGGCTATATGGTACTTTGACCAACATGTAGTATTGTTTGCTGAAAAGACCCTGGCATTGCAGTCATATAGACCTAATTGCAGTTCCTGACTGTCACTCCCTGTATGACCTTAGCCAGGTTATTTAATCTGAGTTTTGAATTCCTATAATTAGAGTTAATAATACTCATCTGGAAGGATTAAATAAGCTAATGAGCAGTAATCTGTGGCACGATGTGAAACAATAGTAGGAACTAAACACATGATACTTCTTGCTAGGAACATCGAACACACAGACATGTTGCAAGAAATAGTGTTTTACTAATAAAAAAAGTCACTAGTATCTTATATTTTATAGACCACCATGGGCTTTTAGACCTTCTGTTTGCTCCACGATGATCTTGTAACAGGTAGGAAGAGCATTAACCTTGAGTAACAAAAATATGAAAGAGTAATCTCATGAAGAAACTAGGTTTATTTTCCTCTTGCCAAAAGTTAAGAGATAGATCATCTCAACTTTTTGGCAGCTATTTGGGGCTATTTGGCAGCTCCATGAGGGGCCAGTCTCCTTCTAACTTCCTGCTCTGCCATTCTTAGTGTGTGACTTTAGTCCCGAGGTTAGTTCATGGTCCAAAGATGGCTGCTCTTACCTTCTGCCTGGCAGCCTACGTTCAGAGATGGAAAGGGTGAAACACAAAAAGCCTGGTTCTTCCCAGGGACTTTCATGAAAGAGGCAACGAGATAAAGCTTGGGTGTCCCAGAGAAAGCAAGTGAGTTCACTGGCAACTATCCCTAGAAAGTATCCCAGAGACACTGGGGTGGTGCCAGTGAGGTGTTTATAGGATACCTGAGGCTAGTTATTGGCAGGGAGAAAGCGGTAAGGGCCCTGAGCTTGTTTGGATGTCTTATCTTATGACTCCTTCTGGAGAATACCCGGCTACCAAAGGCATGAAAATATCGCACCCTTTAGCAGGGTGCTGGATCTGATTAGAGCCAGCCCTAAATATAAGGTAAAGAAGAGATACCTGCTTTTCTCTCTACAACTGCAGGAAGTGCTATCAATCTGGGAGTCCCTGACAGAGAGGAAAAGACGATGAGCCTTGAGCTAGAAAGCCTCAGATGGAGTCCCAACTTTCCACTCAGCAGCTTCTCGAGCCATGTCTCTGCTAAGTAGGGACTATACTCTTAGAACATAGCCTTGGAAATGAAATGAGATATATTATAACTACTATAAAATCATCTAAGGTATTATTATTGTCTGAGCTCTCCTCCTTACCCAACAGAGCCTAAAGGGGCAGCAGAAGCCTGGCTTTGGAGGAGTATTGAGGATACCAAGGAAAATCTAAAAGACAACATCCATATAGAATCCTAAATATGTCATCTTTTATGTCTGGCTTCTTTCACTTAGCATGTTTCAAGCTTCATCCATGTTGTAATATGTATCAGTGCTTCATTCTTATTTATTGCCAAGTAATATTCCATTGTATGGATCTGCCACATGTTGTGTATCCATTCATCCACTGATGGACATTTGGGTTGTTTCCACTTCTTGGCTATTTTGAATAATGCTGCTATGACCATTCGTGTATACCTTTTTGTATGGACATACGTTTATAAGCAGGGAAATATCAGGAAATACACAGAGAAGGCTGCTCTGTGAGGGTTTGTCTGCTGCAATCATTCCTTGAGAAGTTGTCCTGGTTCTCCTGCTGCCAGGCAGTGGGGGCAGAGCTCATGGGACTTCCATAGATGTCCCTCTTTCACTCTAATGCCAGGTTACTGGTCTCATCTTGCAGTGACTCATGACAAACATTACTGCTGGTTGTGGAGGAACGAGTTGGCTTTGGTTTAGAAGCCAGATTCTGCTTGTTGCCACTTTGGCAGGTTACATCCTCTCCCTGAGCTTCAGTCTGGTGTCTTATCTGAGAGGTGGAGGTAATAGCTGCTGTGCAGAGTTTATGTGAGGATGAGATAATGCCTGTGAGGTATCCAGTTGAGAGCAGGTACTATGGCAATTGGCAGTTGCCCTGGGCAGTAGGGCAATTAAAGACACAAAGGGCACAGGTCAGAGACAGGGTAACACAAAGCTCTTTGAATGACTTAGCTATTTTAGAAATGTTTAAACCACTTTTCCCATAAGCACTCTATTAGTTTGCTAGGGCTGCCAAAGCAAAGGACCACGGGCTGATTGACTTCAATAACAGAAATTTGTTGTCTCATAGGCCTGGAGGCTGGAAGTCTAAGATCAAGGTGTCATGAGTTTTGTTTTCTCCTGAGGCCTCTCTCCTCAGTTAGCAGATGGGCACCTTCTTTCTCTCTGTGTCCTCTCATGTCCTTTCCTCCATGCAGACATATCCCTGGTGTCTCTGTGTGTCCAAATTCCTCTTCTTATAAGGTCATGGGACAGATTGCATTAGACCTCACCCTAAAGGCCTCATTTTAACTTAATCACTTCTTTAAAAGCCTCGCCTCCAACTATAGTCACATTCTGAGGTACTGGGGTGTTAGGAATTTTGAGAGGGACCTAATTCAGCACAGAGTAAGCACCTAGGGAGCATCTACTCTGTCCCACACACTGGAAATAGAGAAGGGACAGTCTTAAGTCTGGCTCACAGGACACTCAGTCTTTTGTGAGAGACACATAAGCAGATAATTGCAAAATGACTTTTCTCCATTGACCCTTCCCTGTGTTTCACGACTGAGCTTGCAATCTCTGCAAGTGTATCACCAGATATACACTCAGCATTCTGCCCACCTCAGAATCCCAGTTCAATCAGCTACGAACCTTCCAGGTCTTTACCAGTTCAGGAAAAGAGTTTATCAGAGCCCATTTAGAAACAGGAAGTAGGTTAGCCAAGAACCCAGAGAATCAAGGCCAGACTGAGGTGAAGTGAACAAGTAGTTCAGATTGAAGCTTGCATGCCTCTTTTCCTTCCATTTCTGCCAGAGTTTTAGGGGCCTCCAAATACAGTGAGACAGTGGCCACCCCACAATCCCTGCGTGCCCAGGACCCAAATGCAAGGCTGTTCCATCTCCTTCCCACACCTGACCACATCTCATCTTTACGCTTAATGCTTTCCAAGGTGATAGAAGCATGAAGTTAAGAATTATTGAGCACTTATTCTGTGTTGGGCAATAATCAGACACTTTACATATGTCATCGAACTTGATCCTCAAAACAGTCCCAATTCACCTCATTTTACAGATAAGGGAGCTGAACAGTAAATAGCCCACTTTACATGCAGGTCTTTCTAATTTCACTAAGACCTTCAGACTCTCAGCTGGCTGCAGGTTCAGTGGATAAGGAGGGTGTGTAACTGGCAGCCCCACCAAGTAAGGGCAATTCCCCAGATGAGGTGCAGCCGTGAGCCCATAGTGCCGAGCACCAGGCTGGTAAAGTCACCAGCAGCTGCCACTCCTCACCGACTCTAGGAGCATTGATATTCTAAATGAAGATCCTAGGGAAACCATGCCTTGATCCAGAGGAATGCGTCTTTACCACTTCAAGTCCTATGGCAAGTTACTGTAGGAGATACTTTTGGACCAGAGGGTGGGAGATGGGGGCTTTAGAATCTCCACGTTATACCTATAAACTGCTGTCTGATGATACAGCTGTAAGTCTCAACAGCATTTATAGTTTAACAAAGTGATTTTTGTGTACATTATTCATTTGATCATCACAACCTTATGAAGTAGATGGCAGGTTTCATTAGCCCATTTTACAGAGATTAAGTGGTTCAATCACAGAACTTTGATGTCATAAAGCTGGACCTAGGGCTTGCTTCTGACTTGAGATGGAGGGCCCCTCCAACATTCTGTACACTGTCTGGTGGGATGAAATCTGCAAAACACATAATGCCCCACCTAGGGTGACCAGCCCAGTCCTGTTTGCCCAGGACTTTTCCAGTTTAAAAACTGCAAGTCCCACATTCAGGGAAACTCAGGGCTGACTTATCTGTTAGGCAGAAAAGGCCACACCTGGGACCCCTTTTAGGGGCCCACAAAAGGGTCCTAATTTTAACTCCTTTTAACAGTAGAAGAAAAAACGAATACTATAACAATAATGAATATGTATTAACAAAGCCAGCCTGGATTGTTATTCATCATTATACCAACACAGTCATAAAATATAATTTTTAATTTTGTATGTGTATGCATGTGTGTGCATGTGCTTGTGTGTGAAGGAAGAGGCCATCGAAAGCAAAAGTGCCTAAGACTCAGTGTCATAATGCGGCCCTGAACGCACCATCATCCCAGGCAAACTGGGAATGAGAATCACCTCAGTCCCTTAGCAGCTTGGCAGTAGCAGTTCGTCACAGCTGAGAATCTTAGGGTTTTCGCACACAGGGATTACCTAAAACCACCCGTGCTTCCCAAGATCTGTGATTTCCATGCTCTGGCTGCTTCCCTTCTAAACACATATCAGTTGCCTGGGTTCACTTTGGCTTCCCCAAAGAAGGAGCTGATGAGCCCTTCTGCATATTGTGCTGTAAACTCCATGTCTCCGTCTCCCTGTTGACTTGACCCGATACTTGTCTTACTTATCTTTTTGTGTCTCCAGCTCCTGGCTCAGTGTCAAGCACTCAATGCATATTTTTTCATTGAATAAATGAGTTAATTGATGGCCTGATTCAGCCGATTGCTTTTCCTATAACACAGGGGACACTAAATACTCCTGGCTTCAGTTTCCTCATCTGTAAAATAAATGCATTGGAATAGATGAACTCTCAGGTTTTTAGGGGTCACTTCATATCATGTATTCATTATACCAGATTATGTGACCACCAATGTCATTGAAAAATGTGTCTTGTTAGCAATGAATGAGTCCCTTGTTGATTCTTTGTCGAGTCATTACTGTGTTTTCCCCATCCCTATTTTTCTTTTAGATCCTTACTGGAAGGCAGCATGTCCAATTTTACCTTGAGAAAAACATCTCCCACAGGAAATGGTAATGTAGATGATGTTTCCCTTACTCAGAGAACTTAAAAATAGGAGAAAAACAACGCACAGGTCTTTTTTTTTCCATGTAGCTATGAAATTCTTAGAAGCAACAATCTAATTTAATTAACATGGCCAAAGTTAGGCTTAAGAAAAAAGTAAGAGTGCTATAGATTTTACTCATCTAATTGCAATTCAAAAATTTCTTTTAAAAATCAAGTGTGTGTGACCTTCTGTGCTTTTGGCTCCCGTGAGATCAAAGAATTAAGTTATTTATAATCAGAAGCATCAGGACTTACTATTGTTCACTAGGTACTTCTAAAACAGTCTTGTGTGTCCTTCTGAGGCACATTTCTTTTTGAGCAAAATGGCCAACCCACTAAACCCGGTATTGGCTTTTCCCAGGCCTGTGGTTCTACACTCCCAGGTGTGGGGCAGGGCTTCATGGTGTGCACGAGCAATTTCAGTTGGCACCTGAGCAGTTTTATAAGTTATCTTTGATGATGGGGTGTGGGATTTGTTCTTTCTTGCTGGTGCATCTTACTTTGAAACAGTACTGGATTTGCCAGCCTAGAAGAGTGATGCTGGCCAATCAGATGCTCCTCTCAAGATTTCCAAGTCATAAACACACACTCAACTCCATGCAACTACATCTCTTGTTGTTTCATTTTTCTGTTGATAGATATGAAGAGTACCACTCAGGGGACTGCACTGAAGCAACAGGGATTTCACAATGTGAACAAAAGAAGGACTTTCTTACAGGATAACAGCTGGATAAAGGAACGTCCTGAAGAAGAAAAGTAAGAGCGTGGGTGGGTGGGTGAGTAGAAAGAGCCATTCTCCATTTGGGAAACTAATGGCGATGTGGAAATTGGATACTTTCCTTCTAAAACACCTTGTTGCTTGGCCTCATGTTTGGTAAGATTTAGTAAGCATAAATTCGTTACATCAGATTTTTAAGAATATCTCTACCATTGTTAATATTCACATACCTAAAAGAATATGAGTAATTAGTGAGAAAAAAGTAGGATTTCGCTGTTATAAATATCATAGACATTGGTGCCTACTTGATAATCAAAAAAAAAAAAAAGACATTCCAATTTCCAAAAAGGTAATATTTAATCCATGGTAACGAGATTCCTGGTGCCTGATGTCAGTTGAAACAAACACAAGTATGATTCCAAGTTTACAAATTTAATAATAATTTATCTAAAATTTCCTTATGTGCAAGTAAAACTGATCAATTCTCAACTCATTTAGTCCCCACTGGTCGTATACCTCTAGGTATGGAAAGGTGGTAAATGCAGTATCACTTTGTAAGAGAAAACACTTAACCATCACGAAAGTATTGTCTGCTTTAAGCATTGTTTCTATTAGCTGTATGTTTAAAGATCTGAAGACTATTAACCTAAGCATATCACCTCATTGCCAACATAGATTTATAATAGGCATTTGTCCAGCCCATATATATTTATTATAAATTGTGTATATATATGTATATACACACATACACATATGTCTTTGATTCCCTTTTATGTGTCTGGCTAGATACTAGGTACTTTACGTATAAAGCATCACTAAATCTCATAGCAATCACATGAGGTAGGTATTACATCCTCATTTTTACAGAGGAGGAATCTGAGGCTCAGAGAAGTTAGGTAACTTGTACAAGAGCACACAGCTATTAAGAGGTGGAGCTGAAAGTAACATGACCCATTATCTTCCCATTACACCAATGGTTCTCAGTCAGGGACAATTTTGCTCCCAGGGGATGTTTGGCAAGGTCAGGAGACATTTTTAAATGTCAAAATTGGGTGGTACTCCTGACATCTAGTCAGTAGAAACCAGAAATGCCACTAAACAACCTACCAGGCAGAGGACACACCTCACAACGAAAAATTATCAAACCCATAATGTCAACAGCACTGAAGTAGGAAATCCCTGCATTACAGGATAATTTCTCTAAGCTTTCTACTAAACTGTCCATACATGGTTGTTTGAGGAGTGTACTTGTAACTGTTAAACAAAAATGTCTATTAAATTCTGTTATTAAATTTTATTATTTTAAGGAGCTATAGGGTTATTTGGAGACTCACACTAAGTTTTGGAGTTAGCATTCTTAGAAAACAATCATTTCCTTCTATAAAGCAACATTTACTGCTTCTGTTGGAAGCTAATATGACATTTCTATTTTTCCATGGTGGTAGAATGATATCAAAGGTAGATCACAAATTTTGGGTTGCACAAATTTGCACAGATGTGGGGCGATAGACAATTTAGATGGCTAAGACAATTTATAGTCAGTAGAAGACAATTTAGATGGCTAAGACAATTTATAGTCAGTAGAAGTGATGGTTTTATGCCAGACATGCTTACTTAAAAAGGCCCAGGGAAGCCAGCTTGGCTGGCATGACAGCTGCTGAGTGAAGGGGAAATTGGCTCTGATGCTTTCCCCACGCCTGCTGGCCCAGTAGTGGGCTACGTGCTATGTATTTTTCTTCAGGCAAAAATGCGTCTGGTGTCTGCTACTCTCCCACAAGTTTAGGGAGGGGATCCCAGGGAGATGGAGAAGTTCTCTTGGCATCTTCGAGGGTATATATTCGCTGGAATTGTTTCAGTTTCACTGCTCATCTTTCTTTAATTATCTACTGCAGTTCTTTTATAGCTTTACTGTAAGTGGTTCCAGAGTGTTGAGTAATCAGAACCAGGAGAAATGTGATATTTCAGGTTTGGTTGGGTTGACATGGAAAGGTTCTGATACTTATTCTCTGCTTTGGCTCAAGGCCAAAGTCTCTACTACATGTTTTGACATTTCCTAAAATTGCCTGCACTTTCAGGTCCACTATACAAAGTAAGGAAGACATAGCTTCAGGATCTTATGTATGAAGTTCTATTGAAGGGTTGACCAGTAGGAAAAGGGAAAGTTTGGAATAAAAGTATCACTCTTGTCACTTGCTAACTTTTTAGCCTTAGGAAAGCCACAGAATCCCTGATCAATTTTCTCATCTGTGAACTGGATATAAGTGTATCCCCTGCCTAATTTATAGGGTTATTTTAAGGACCAAACAGAGCAAAGTATATAATCTCATGGTTCAAAAATAGGCTAAATCTGTGAAAAATCAACCTTCTTAACCACAAATATTGGTACTTATTTTCCTACATTTTGTCAAGGGAAACTGTCAAGACCAACAAGTGGAAAAATTTCAGATATAATGGGCTTAATTAAATTTAATAACTTTATTGGAGTATAATTGCTTTACAATGGTGTGTTAGTTTCTGCTGTATCACAAAGTGAATCAGCTATAAGTATACATATATCCCCATATCCCCTCCCTCTTGCATCTCCCTCCCACCCTCCCTATCCTGCCGCTCTAGGTGGTCACAAAGCACCGCACTAATCTCCCTGTGCTATGCGGCTGCTTCCCACTAGCTATCTATTTTGCATTTGGTAGTGTATATATGTCCATGCCACTCTCTCACTTCGTCCCAGCTTACCATTCCCATCCCCATGTCCTCAAGTCCGTTCTCTAGTATGTCTACGTCTTTATTCCTATCCTGTCCATAGGTTCTTCAAGACCATTTTTTTTTTTAGATTCCATATGTATGTATTAGCAAGCTGTATTTGTTTTTCTCTTTCTGATTTACTTCACTCTGTATGACTGACTCTAGGTCCATCCACCTCACTACGAATAACTCAATTTTGTTTCTTTTTATGGCTGAGTAATATTCCATTGTATATATGTGCCACATCTTCTTTATGCATTCACCTGTCGATGGACACTTAGGTTGCTTCCATGTCCTTGCTATTGTAAATAGAGCTGCAATGAACATTGTGGTACATGACTCTTTTTGAATTATGGTTTTCTCAGGGTATATGCCCGGTAGTGGGATTGCTGGGTCGTATGGTAGTTCTATTTTTAGTTTTTTAAGGAACCTCCATACTGTTCTCCATAGTGGCTGTAACAATTTACATTCCCACCTACAGTGCATGAGGGTTCTCTTTTCTCCACACTCTCTCCAGCATTTATTGTTTGTAGATTTTGTGATGATGCCCATTCTGACCGGTTTGAGGTGATAACACATTGTAGTTTTGATTTGCATTTCTCTAATGATTAGTGATGTTGAGCATCCTTTCATGTGTTTGTTGGCAATCTGTATACCTTCTCTGGAGAAATGTCTATTTAGGTCTTCTGTCCATTTTTGGATTAGGTTGTTTGCTTTTTTGATATTGAGCTGCATGGGCTGCTTGTAAATTTTGGAGATTAATCCTTTGTCAGTTGCTTTGTTTGAAAATATTTTCTCCCATTCTGAGGGCTGTCTTTTCATCTTGTTTATGGCTTCCTTTGCTGTGTGAAAGTTTCTAAGTTTCATTAGGTCCCATTTCTTTATTTTTGTTTTTATTTCCCTCTCTCTAGGAGGTGGGTCAAAAAGGATCTTGCTGTGATTTATGTCATAGAGTGTTCTGCCTCTTTACTTCTAAGAATTTTATAGTGTCTGGCCTTACATTTAGGTCTTTAATCCATTTTGAGTTTATTTTTGTGTATGGTGTTAGGGAGTGTTCTAATTTCATTCTTTTACATGTAGCTGTCCAGTTTTCCCAGCACCACTTATTGAAGAGGCTGTCTTTTCTCCATTGTATACTCTTGCCTCCTTTATCTACAATAAGGTGACCATATGTGCATGGGTTTATCTCTGGGCTTTCTATCCTGTTCCATTGATCTATATTTCTGTTTTTGTGCCAGTACCATACTGTCTTGACTACTGTAGCTTTGTAATATAGTCTGAGGTCAGGGAGCTTGATTCCTCCAGCTCCATTTTTCTTTCTCAAGATTGCTTTGACTATTCGTGGTCTTTTGTGTTTCCATATAAATTGTGAAATTTTTTGTTCTAGTTCTGTGAAAAATGCCATTGGTAGTTTGATAGGGATTGCATTGAATATGTAGACTGCTTTGGGTAGTATAGTCATTTTCACAGTGTTCATTCTTCCAGTCCAGGAACATGATATATCTCTCCATCTGTTTGTATCATCTTTAATTTCTTTCATCAGTGTCTTATACTTTTCTGCATACAGGTCTTTAGTCTCCATAGGTAGGTTTATTCCTAGGTATTTTATTCTTTTTGTTGCAAGGGTAAATGGGTTTGTTTCCTTAATTTCTCTTTCAGAATTTTCATCATTAGTGTATAGGAATGAAAGAGATTTCTGTGCATTAATTTTGTATCCTGCTACTTTACCAAATTCATTGATTAGCTCTAGTAGTTTTCTTGTAGCATCTTTAGGTTTCTCTATGTATAGCATGTAATCTGCAAACAGTGACAGTTTTACTGCTTTTCCAATTTGGATTCCTTTTATTTCTTTTTCTTCTCTGATTACTGTGTCTAAAACTTCCAAAACTATGTTGAATAATAGTGGTGAGATTGGGCAACCTTGTCTTGTTCCTGATCTTAGTGGAAATGGTTTCAGTTTTTCACCACTGAGAATGATGTTGGCTGTGGGTTTGTCATATATGGCCTTTATTATGTTTAGGTTAGTTCCCTCTATGCCTACTTTCTGGAGGCTTTTTATCATAAATGGGTGTTGACTTTTGTCAAAAGCTTTTTCTGCATCTATTGAGATTATCATATGGTTTTTATCCTTTAATTTGTTAATATGGTTTATCACATTGATTGATTTGCATATATTGAAGAATCCTTGCATTCCTGGGATAAACCCCACTTGATCATGGTGAATGATCCTTTTAATGTGCTGTTGGATTCTGTTTGCTAGTATTTTGTTGAGGATTTTTGCATCTATGTTCATCAGTGATATTGGCCTGTAGTTTTCCTTTTCTTGAGACATCTTTGTCTGGTCTTGGTATCAGGGTGATGGTGGCCTCATAGAATGAGTTTGGGAGTGTTCCTCCCTCTGCTATATTTTGGAAGAGTTTGAGAAGGATAGGTGTTAGCTCTTCTCGAAATGTTTGATAGAATTCGCCTGTGAAGCCATCTGGTCCTGGGCTTTTTTTTTGGAAGATTTTTAATCACAGTTTCAATATCAGTGCTTGTGATTGGTCTGTTTATATATTCTATTTCTAACTGGTTCAGTCTTGGAAGGTTGTCCTTTTCTAGGAATTTGTCCATCTTTTCCAGGTTGTCCATTTTATTGGGATATATTTGCTTATAGTAATCTCCCTTGGCCCTTTGTATTTCTTCAGTGTCAGTTGTTCTCATTTCTAATTCTGTTTTTTGAATCTTCTCCCTTTTTTTCTTGATGAGCCTGGTTAACGGCTTATCAATTTTGTTTATCTTCTCAAAGAACCAGCTTTTAGTTTTATTGATCTTTGCTATTGTTTTCTTCATTTCTTTTTCATTTATTTCTAATCTGCTCTCTATGATTTCTTTCCTTCTGCTAACTTTGGGTTTGTTTTGTTCTTCTTTCTCTAATTGTTTTAGGTGTAAAGTTAGGTTGTTTATTTGAGATGTTTCTTGAGGTAGGATTGTATTGCTATAAACATCCCTCTTACAACTCCTTTTGCTGCATCCCATAGATTTTGGTTCGTTGTGTTTTCGTTGTCATTTGTTTCAAGGTATTTTTTTATTTCCTATTTGATTTCTTCAGTGATCTCTTGGTTAATTAGTAGTGTAGTGTTTAGCCTCCATGTGTTTGTATATTTTACAGTTTTTTTTCCTGTAAGTGATCTCTAGTCTTATAGCATTGTGCTCAGAACTGATTCTTGATAGGATTTCAATTTTCTTAAACTTACCAAGGCTTGATTTGTAACCCAAGATATGATCTATCCTGGAGAATGATCCATGAGCACTTGAGAAGAAAGTGTATTCTGTTGTTTTTGAATGGGATGTCCTAAAAATATCAATTAAGTCCATCTTGTCTAATATGTCATTTAAAGCTTGTGTTTTCTTATTTATTTTCATTTTGGCTGATCTGTCCATTGGCAAAGTGAGGTGTTAAAGTCCCCTACTATGATTGTGTTGCTGTCAATTTCCCCTTTTATGGCTGTTAGTATTTGCCTTATGTATTGAGGTGTTCCTATGTTGGGTGCATAAATATTTACAATTGTTATATCTTCTTCTTGGATCGATCCCTTGATTGTTATGTAGTGTCCTTCTTTGTCTCTTGTAATAGATTTTATTTTAAAGTCTATTTTGCCTACTATGAAAATTGTTACTCCAGCTTTCTTTTGATTTCCATTTGCATGGAATATCTTTTTCCATGCCCTCACTTTCATTCTGTATGTGTCCCTAGGTCTGAAGTGGGCCTCTTGTAAACAGCATATATACAGGTCTTGTTTTTGTATCCATTCAGCCAGTGTATGTCTTTTGGTTGGAGCATTTTATCCATTTACATTTAAGGTAATTATCAATATGTATGTTCCTATTACCATTTTCATAATTGTTTTGGGTTTGTTATTGTAGGTCTTTTCCTTCTCTTGTGTTTCCTGCCTAGAGAAGTTCCTTTAGCATTTGTTGTAAAGCTGGTTTGGTGGTGCTGAGCTCTCTTAGCTTTTGCTTGTCTGTAAAGGTTTTAATTTCTCCATCAAATCTGAATGAGATCCTGCTGGGTAGAGGAAACTTGGTTGTAGGTTTTTCCCTTTCATCACTTTAAATATGTCCTGCCACACCCTTCTGGGTTGCAGAGTTTCTGCTGGAAGATCAGCTGTTAACCTTATGGGGATTCCCTTGTATGTTATTTGTTGCTTTACCCTTTCTGCCTTTAATATTTTTTCTTTGTGTTTAATTTTTGATAGTTTGATTAATATGTGTCTTGGTGGCTTTCTCCTAGGATTTATCCTATATGGGACTCTGCACTTCCTGGACTTGATTAACTATTTCCTTTCCCATATTAGGGAAGTTTTCAACTATAATCTCTTCAAATATTTTCTCAGACCCTTTCTTTTTCTCTTCTTCTGGGACCCCTATAATTCAAACATTGGTGCGTTTAATGTTGTCCCAGAGGTCTCTGAGACTGTCCTCAATTCCTTTCATTCTTTTTTCTTTATTCTGCTCTGCTGTAGTTATTTCCACTATTTTATCTTCCAGGTCACTTATCCGTTCTTCTGCCTCATTTATTCTGCTATTGATTCCTTCTAGAGAATTTTAACTTTCATTTATTGTGTTTTTTGTCATTTTTTGTTTGCTCTTTAGTTCTTCTAGGTCCTTGTTAAACATTTGTTGTATCTTGTCCATTCTATTTCCAAGATTTTGCATCATCTTTACTATCATTACTCTGAATTATTTTTCAGGTAGACTGCCTATTTCCTCTTCATTTGTTTGGTCTGATGGGTTTTTACCTTTCTCCCTCATCTGCTGCATATTTCTCTGTCTCCTCATTTTGCTTAACTTACTGTGTTTGGGGTCTCCATTTCACAGGCTGCAGGTTCCTAGTTCCTGTTGTTTTTGGTGTCTGCCCCCAGTGGGTAAGTTTGCTTCAATGTGTTGTGTAGGCTTCGTGGTGCAGGGGATGGGTGCCTGTATTCTGATGGGTGAGGCTGGATCTTTTCTTTCTGGTGGACAGGACCACATCTGGTGGTATGTTTTTTGGTGTCTGTGAACTTATTATGATTTAGGCAGCCTTTCTGCTAATAGGTGGGGTTGTGTTCCTGTCTTGCTCGTTGTTTGGCATGAGATGTCCAGCACTGGAGCTTGGTGGTCACTGAATGGAGCTGAGTCTTAGCATTGAGATGGAGATCTCTGGGAGAACTCTCGCCAACTGATATTACGAGGGGCTGGGAGGTCTCTGGTGTACCAATGTCCTGACGTCAGCTCTCCCATTTCAGAGGCTCAGGCCAACACCTGACCAGAACATCCAGACCCTGCTAGTGTTGGTCTCCTGCAGAGGTGGGGGGCAGCTGTGGCTCACCATGGGAACAAGGACAGTGACAGCAGAAGGTCTGGGAAGCAGTCTTTGTCATGAGCCCTCCCAGAGTCCTCCAATAGCCCCACCAAAGATCCTCTAGCCTGGGCTTAATTAAATTTAAAACACGTTTGAAAAAACGTTTGCCTTCCTGCAGAAAAGGACTTTTCTAATATATGCAAAGTAGATGGCCGCATGTTCCCACACTGCTGAAGAAAACCCAAAACCAAAAAGCCAGATAACAAACACTCATGCCATTGTTGAATCACATGGAAATCTCATGGGGTAAATTGGAATAATGATTGTTTGTAGTGACAAACTTTTTTCTTTTCACCATGCTCTTTCAAGTGGTGGCTGGTTAAAATAAATGCATAGTTGTGTGTTTACACCCAAAGTAAAATGAATTAACCTTGCCAAACATTGTGAGCTCTTTCATATCTGCCTTATTTAATGCTTACTAAATACTGTGATAACTTCTCATGTGACTTGATTTTGTTCTTTCTCTGCAGATATGAAAATTATAGTAGGGTGGTACTCCATAGACGTAACTCCCATGATGCCTCAGACAGGTGGGTGTTTCAGATGAGTTATTCATTAGCAGAAACACAAAGACAGTCATTTTTGAGAGTAGACTTGTTCAAGACAGGCTGAATATTTGTAGCTAGCCTCAGGCTTTCCCTGACATTCTGGGCACATGAAGGAGAATCTGTGATATCATCAGGGGTGTTTACAGGGCAAACTGTGCTTTTCCAGCTTTATGCTTCCAGAATACGCTTGGAGGTGTAGAATAATCAATCCACTGCCTACCCTACCAAGGTGGCCCTCCTGACAGGAAAGGGAAGGGGCCGCTGCAGAAACATAGGATATTTCTGAGCCTTAGAGAAAGGAACCCTGAAAGCAGAACAACAGCTAAGTTCACTTGCTTTATGGGACAATACATTTCTTTTCAAAAACTCCTAGGCTTGTGGAAAACCACTAAATGATACTCAATGGCAAATAGACTGACAAATGCAAATTAGTAGGAAAATTCAAACAAAACTCATAAGCGCAATGATGTAAATAATCTAATATTGATGAAATAAATAGATAATATTCTTACTAAAGTACATTTATAGTCACACACATACAAACACCCACACCCATCAGAAGAACTTAACTATTTCTCAGACACAAGTTTTATCTGGTCCAGTAGCCAGTGTCTTCCACCAAGACATACTTACTGATTGTCTTTCATGGTGGGGACTTTAAAAAGTTAAGTAGACACTTTGAATATGTCTATTTTGGAATTTTTATCTGTGAATTTTTCTGAACCATTTAAAAATTGTTCATAATTTTGATGTGTTCTCAGGGTCCTGAGTTTACCCCCCTCTACACAAAGTATCTGATTGGTTTTTGGGTTTCCAGCCTTGGCTCATCGAATTGACTGTTCTGTGATCTGGCAGGCTCTCTCCATGCCCTCTCCTTGGTCGTCATGATTTTGGAGCTTACATCCTTGTTCTCTGTTGGCCCTCAACTCACCAAACAAAGGGAACCTAATCATCTGAATCCAGGCACCAGTGAAAAATGCCTCCTCCATTTGATTTGCCTTTCTCTGCAACTATTAAAGAACAAACATACTTGTTGTGAAGTGTGACCAGGCAGACTAAGCTTCGTGCTCTTAGTGTGTTTCAGAATAACGGGACCTTAATGCCGTCTATGCTTACTTTATATTTTAAACTCTGTTGGTTACCTGAACCCTTCCTGTTACTGGACAGCATTTTGGCTAAAGCACATCGAGCTTTTATCCTAAGTAACAAAAATCTGCAAGCCTGAGACATTTCCCCTTTGACCCCTTGACTTGCGTCTCAAACGACATCTTCCTAAAAGGTAGTGTAGGTTATTTATCTCCTCGCATTTACTCAAATGGATGCCCATGTGACACTTTTCTACCCTTTTGAAGAGGCTGTGTCCACTTCGATGTTCACCCAATACCACGTTGGAGCACCTACTGTGTGCTGACATTGTGCCAGGTGCTGGGAACACAAAGATTCATAAGACACCAGCCTTGACCTCAAGGAACTCACATTTCATGGGAAAAGATGAATACATAAGCACAAATACTCAAATTTACCATGGAAAGTGCTTGTGGAAGTGTGTGCCGGTGCTATGGGAAGGAGCAGAGGGAGTGGCTAACTTTGCCTGAATGAGTGGGAGACCTCACTGAGGACGTGGTCGTTAAGAGGCACTTCCAGCAGAAGCAATGATATGTCCAAGAGTTCCACACGAGCAGAGACTGAAAATAAAGGAAAATAAATAATAGTCTCATCACCCTAGAAAACAAGCTTCACAGTGTGCACAAACTAGGACATTTTACTGTCCTTCCTCTGCCCGATCATTAAAACATGTCACATGAGGCAGAAGGCAAAAATAGTACCTGTGGAGATGCCCTATGTGAGCCAGTCCCTATTCTAAAGTCTGGGGACAAAACAAAATCCCCGCTTTCATAGAACTTGCTTCCTAGTTGAAGGTGGAGGGGGGAGAGACTGAAAATAAACAAACACAATATAATATGTCATGTGGCGATAAGTGCCTGAAAGAATAAAGCTGCTAATGAGACATACAACAATAACATCTGCAAAAGGGGTTGTTTTCTGGAAGGGGGTCAGATGGCCCTGCAGCACCTACCTGCACTCATGTATTACACCTGCTGGTGAACCACACTATGATTTCACTCTGAGTTTCTTTTAAAATGCGGGGAATTGCATTAGGCTTTTTTAAAACCTTATTCTTGCTTTAACCGACACTATTCCCTCTACCTCTGTTTGTTCATGTCTATTTATCCTCCAAGATCCACCTTGACCTGCACCTCATCCCGAAAGCCTTCTGTGATCCCCGCCTCTACAAATAAGCTTTCTCAGCTTCAAACTTCCTTGCACTTGACCTGAACCTTTTCTATGACACTGACCACTTGTTGCACTTGGACGTATGTCTGATTTGTCCCTCTAGCTCTGTGTGTGTAGGGGTTACAGATAATTCATTCTCGACTTCCTCACTCACAGTCATCAGCACAGTATATCGTTTACCTCCAAATATTTGCTTAATAAAGATACACTACATCAAGTTAAAAATTACATGTTAAATAGTATACTGTTTTAGTACTTTTTCTGATTCAATATGTTTGGTCTGTCAGCTTCAAGTGATGCTTTGAAATGCAAACTGTAAATCATGGTATAATTCTCCAAAGAGCTTGCTTTCCCTGTATCACAAGGTTATATAAAGCATTAAACAGGCTTTTTTTTTTTTGCTGATTGATCAGTCTGATCAAGATAGCTCCACTGCTTTGGTGATCATCATTCCTACTATTGGGCTTTCTATCTTCTTTTCCCTTATTTTCTTGTCTTCTCCCCACTCCCTTTTTTTTTTCTATTTATGTGTCCGTCTTAACTCTGCCTCTGTCTCTCCTCTCCCTTCTTCTCCCGGTCTCCCCTCTCTTCTCCTATCCTTCCCATCCATCCTTTCTCTATTCCCCCACTGTCTTCTTTTCATTTCTTTCCAGTGTCTCCTGTTTCTCTCTTTTCCTCTTTTTCTTCTCTCTCCCTCCCTCTTTTCTGCCAGCAAGGTCTCTTCTCTCAACCCTGTCCACGGTACTGAACTTATAATGAAGCAACTTGTACATACCTGTTGTGTTGGCTTATGGCTCTGCTGAAACTCTGCAAACAAAATATAGCTGATTATAAGGGACTGAGTTCCTATTACGTAAAAATCAACAACATTGAAAACACTACATATTAGTTACTAACCATTTTGCATGTTGTGTTTCTTGTTTTACATATCCTTATCACCAATCTGAATGTGTTACATTGTAATTAGAATAATTGGACCTAGAGAAGAATTCTTTTATTAGCATGGGGAATCGGGTTTGCTATATTTTATCCTACCCAAGTCAAAGCCTGGGAAGATTTCGGTACTCCAAATCTGTAGCATGTACATCTCCTACCCGAATAGGATAAAATTTTACCAAATCCATGATAAGTTTTATAACTATTTTTTGTAATTTATTTGATCTTTCTATAATTATTTTTTGCTACAGGAAAACAAATGAGAGGGATGAGCCAAAAGCCACAATCAGTTGGTACAGATCTGGTGACACTTTGGACAGGTAAGGTGTTTTGAACCACGCGAGCAGGATGCATAACATATGTTAAATCCAGTTTCTTATAAAGCATGAGACCTTTAAATGTTTACCAAAGTAAGTTTTGAACCATGATATTTTATCTCCAGGGACAGAAGGACTATAAAGATTGAATTATCTTCTTCTTCAAAACTCACAAAATCTTGACTTGATATGCCATTTTCCTAAAATCTTGCTAGCAGTAGATCAATAGGAAAAATTCCGAAGAAACCGGTTTGAATATAGGTGGGGTGAGCACTGCATGTGGTCTGTTCAACTTTAAATGGAGAATATAGTTTTTTTGTGTGTGAGTAGCCAGTTCTTGTTCTAACTTTGGTCTTTCCATCCCAGAGGCAGAGAAACAGCAGTTTCTGTATAATTACCTTATGGAGAGACTATACCTTTTAATAATACAGTAGTTTTGATCTGCTCTAGGATAAAGACATTAGCTCTTTACTTTAGAAAGTGAAACTACTCTTTCGGCAGTGGAGTCACCATATGGCTGTGGAATGAGTCATTGGCTGAGCCTGTTATTGGCTCAGTCTTAGACAGAGGGAAAAGAAGGGCTCATCCCTATATAGAAAATTGAGGAATATCTATTCAAGTTGAAGTGTAAATGCTACAAGTCACATTTTAATTTTATATTTGGTAGAGGTGCTTATTAGGCATAAGTAAAGAACAAAGTTAACATGTTATTTGGAATCTAGACATAGTGAATACCTGGGGCCATTTATAGTTGAAGCCACTCCCTGTAGCTAAAGATGTGCTACTTTTGGAGACAAACATGCCACCCGCTACAATTGAAGCACATATGCTGAAACCTATGGCATCTAATAGATTCTATATTCACACCATGCCTGTGCCAATTAATACAGCAAATGCATGCACTTCTGCACTCTTCATAGCTTTTTAAAAAAATAATTTAATTGATTTATTGAAATCCATCAAAATTAATAGTCTCTACTTTTTGAAAGATACTGTTAAGAGATCAAAATCAAACCAAAGACAAGGAGAAAATATTTGCAAATCATATATCTGATAAAAAAAAAACCCCACAAACTTGTATCCAGAGTTTATAAAGAACTCTGCAAATAAGAGAGAAGTACTTCCAAACGGCAGAGTAAGGACCTCCAAAAATCTACTCCTCCAGAAAAGTATTAACACTGGAAAAAACTGTCAAAATCAACTTTTTCCGAACTCTGGAAATTAACCAAAGGCTTGAAACAATTTACTAAGTGTCTATTCAAGAAAAAGAGTTGGCTGTCAGTAAGAACGGCACGAATTGCCACATTTTAAAGCTTCCTATTCACCTATTCCTCTCCCCAGCTCCATGGTAGCCTTGAAAACCAGCAGTCTGGGAACAACAGTAGCTTCTTCATAGCTTTTTAAGTCAATCTCCCGAATAGCAGACAATCAGCCCTGGTATCCCTAAGGAGGTGACTTCTCTCTTGTAATTCAAAAATCAGTTTGTGAGAGGAGTCATAGTACCTCTGCCCATTCACCTCCGCCTTGCAGGCTGTCCTATTACACTGCAAATTGAGGACGGAAACCCTACTTCTAGGAATGTAATTGCAAGTGAGATAATTATGTCTCGAGAAAGGTGAATATGTGGGAGACCTAATCCTTTGTAGGTTGTGTGTCTGAAAGCTTTTCTCAGGCCAGTCAAGGTAGAGCCTTGGAACTTAGCGATACACTAGACCAGGCCTCACAGGCAAGCTAACCGAGGTATTCTCAGCCTCAGCGACAAATCAGAATCACCTAGAGAGCTTTTTAACTCTGCTGATGGCTTGGTCCCACCAGCTCTCATCCCCCAAATTCTAATTTAATTAGTCTGAGGTAGGACTCGGACATTTTTTAAAGCTTAGGAAGTGATTCTGATGTGCAGCCAAAATGTAGAGCCACCAACCTAGCCCAAACCTTCATTTTGTAAACTAGAAAATGAGGCCAGAGACTCCCTGCTTTATTTACACAGAGGTTTAGCGGCACATGTTTGGAAGAAGTATCCTGGTCAGGTCCTTCCGCAGGTAGTGTCTGTCTCCCAAGAGTGAGCTACATCTCTGTAAATGTGGGAACAGATGTGAGGGAGAGAACACAGGAGTCTGTAAAGAAAGGCAAGTCCTCATAACAGGAGTCAGACTCCTATCATGCAGGCCACTCCAAGTGCAAGAGGTGAAATAATTTGGGGAGGTAGATGATCAAATGTATCAGGTGTGTGAATATGTGTGCCATTTCAATACTAACGCATATAATGAGTAGGAGAAAAGTACTGACTTTACATTTGAAGAGTTCCCTTTTAAAATATACATCTGTTGGTAAAAATATGAAGTGTTCTAAAGAAATATAAGTAAATAATTGTGTACATGCATACACTATGGCGCGAACCCTGAAGGTGGTTTCTTGACTAATTTGGAAAACCTAGGTTAAGGAGCCCTCTAGTGTTCGGTTATGGAAGTGTTACTTTTCCTTTGGTTGGTTGGATCCTGCTGCTAGTTATATTGTTTAGGTATTTCCTGTCTCTAAGACTGACTCCTATTAATCTCATATCACAACTTGGCAGAAAATTAGTTTCTAAGAGAAGTACAAAGTTAATCTCCCTAAGTAATAAGAAAGTGATGAATGCATTGGAATGATGGTTTAGAGTTCTCTCCAATACTGTTTATACACTGATTCCCCTAGTGGAGTGAAAGAGATAGTGGAGGTGAAAAATAACAACTGAAGAAAGACATGTTGATCATGAGTGTTGGAACAATTACACTACAGAACCAGGTGTACGACATTGGGGCCTACTGGGAAGACTTTGGAGATAGACTACTTCCCGGCTGTGTGGCCAAGAGAAAGCCACCCACCTTCTCTGAGACGCCATTTCTTCATCTATAAAGCAAAAATAATTACACCTACCTTGTAGGGATGTTCTGAAGAGTAGAGGAAATTGTATAAGATGAGTGGCAAAGAGTAGTAGGTAGCTATTTTTATTATTACATGCAGTATTGCCCACATAGATCAACACAGTAGAATTTTGATTAACTTCATTTAATTGTAACCTCAGAACTCTCCTTTATTTAAACCTTGAAGGTGTTTGAAATTAACGCTCTGTTTTCTTTAGACAGATTGTCATTTTCCCTGTCCCAGAGTAGCAATTTCCCAAGATTATTTTTATCTTATATGAGGATCTCACAGACAGCTATAAACGCTGAGTAGTTTCCACAGAACATTTAAGATTTAGGATTACCTGACATCTTATGGTATTCACAGTGGTTTACTGCAGAGCCCTTTAACTATAAACACATCAGAGGCTCAGTAGCAATTAGTACAGGGAATTTACTTATAGTCTTTGGCCTAATGATCACCTGAGAGATCATCATGAGTTTTTTTTTTTTTTTTTTGCGGTACACGGGCCTCTCACTGTCGTGGCCTCTCCCGTTGTGGAGCACAGGCTCCGGACGCGCAGGCCCAGCAGCCACGGCTCACGGGCCCAGCCACTCCGCTGCATGTGGGATCTTCCCGGACCGGGGAACGAACCCGTGTCCCCTGCATCGGCAGGCGGACTCTCAACCACTGCGCCACCAGGGAAGCCCTCATCATGAGTTTTTAATACTTGGATTCATTCTGTACAAGATAATACCTGTATTGTGAACAGTCTATTGAGAATATGGAGCTCTGGAGAATTCCAACCTTTCTTCCTTTTTACATTCAAGAGTTATCAGTTTGTGGCATTACATACCATAAACAGAAACTATTTGGGGTTGACTCGTGGAATTTTAACAATTAGGGTTATTTACCCAATGTTTTAGTTACACATGTCAAAGTGACATCTAGGAATTGAAATCATTTTAAAGCTATGACAATTAAGCCATATTTTTCTATCATGAATTTTTTTTTTTTTTTAGAACAAGGCAAGGTTAGTGTCCTTCTTCCCAGGAACAGTTTATAAAGCCCTGTACTAAAGTGGATGATAAAAGTGAAAGTTTAGAGAAAGTTATAGTAGACCCATAGTATGGGATCAACAGAAGAATCTTGCTGATCTTTTGTTTTCTGGAGCCTGATTTTGCCACATCCTAGCTTTGTGCAAGCCTGCAGAGTGCTCCACAAGACAGCCCCACATCTCAGGAAGAGCTTTCCTATCTGGTGTGTTCTTCCTGGCGGGAAGGGACAGAACAGGGGTTGCAGTTGTGAGATCCCACCACTGGCATGCAGACTACAGGATTCCTAGTTTGTCTTATGACCCAAAGGACAGACAAACACACCTTTTCCAGAACTACCCTCCTTGTGGAGACCTGAGTTTAGAGGGTTTAAAACCTCTGATGGTCCGCAGGGCCTATTAACAAAATGTGTTAGTCAGTGTAAACAAGTTTGCCAGGGTAGAGCAACTCTTGTAACAAGTTCCTTCTCCTGCCTCCAAATCTTGGTCGGTTAGCCCGATAGAAGATTACTGCTCACTCCCCTTAGAGTCCAAAGGGATTGGCTGGAAAATTAGGGGACGACCCTGTTCCATGGAATGACTCAGGGACCTAGGTTCTTTCCTAGGTTTTAATGCTGCCATCTTCAACCCATGGGCATCAAAGCCATAGCAGAAGGGGAAGAAAGAGCAAGGAGGATCACACAAGAGGTTTTATGATGGGTTTGCGAGTCATGAATAATATTTCTGCCCACGTTCTTTAGTTTAGAATGCAATCATATGGTCCCAACTTAATTGTAATGAAGATTGGGAAATATGGTCTTCCTGTGTGCTCAGAAGGAAAATAAAGAGTTTGACAAGCATATAGCATTGCCTATGCCACAAAACATTTTTTAAAAATTGCTTAAGTCTTCCATTGATTCCTTGTAGTGACATAGGAAGTACTGTCATTGGCTAGATATATTATTAAACAATAATGAATATGAAATAGTTAATGAGTTAAATGCTCAAATGAGTCAGAAAGGCTAGTTGAAAAACATAAACTTTAAAAGTTGCAAACTGTATCAAAATAGCCTCATAAATAGATTTTGTTGTAAGTAGCTTTTTTGTTAATTGCAAAATTTTCTAACATGTAACACCTGAAAAGCAATTGTTTTTACCAGAGAAAGTTTCTGTTGTGAAGTGATTATAGCAAGAATGAGATCTGAAAGGAGTTTAATAATCTAAATGTTCATCCAGACTTTTGTCTTATTTCTTTATAAAGGATCTCAGACAGAAATGATGCTGCCAAAACATATAAGGCCAATACCCTGGATAACCGAGTAACCAATAGGTAACAGTATCTACTAACTTTGGGAAAGGCTCAAGTAATACAATATTTTTCTAAGCGTTACTTATTTACTTGATATTAAGTAGGATTCTTCAATCCTGCTTAATATCTTTCTGTAAATTCTCATCCTCTATTTTTTTTGTTTGTTTTTTAGATGTTGGGGGTAGCAGTTTATTAATTAATTTATTTATTTTTGCTGTGTTGGGTCTTCGTTTCTGTGCAAGGGCTTTCTCTAGTTGCGGCGAGCGGGGGCCACTCTTCATCGCGGTGCGCGGGCCTCTCCTGTTGCGGAGCACAGGCTCCAGACGCGCAGGCTCACTAGTTGTGGCTCACGGGCCTAGTTGCTCCGCGGCATGTGGGATCCTCCCAGACCAGGGCTTGAACCGGTGTCCCCTGCATTAGCAGGCAGATCCTCAACCACTGTGCCACCAGGGAAGCTTCATTCTCTATTTTTTTTTCACACAAATAATTCTGGCATAAAAACTTTACTCCTGCTCATGGTTAAGGAAAAAGAAAGTCTTACTTCTGGCTTCAAAATCAAGAGAGTTCATTGCTTCAGGCCATCATTCTTACCACATTTATGTTTCTGTTTAAGTTATCCTGGTGGCAAGATTATGAAATACATGTAAACGTCAATTTTACATTCCTATTGTTAAAGAAAATTACTGAACCCAGCAAACAAAAACACGGGGCTTAAAAGATAATGAATTTTCTAAAGAAAAAAATTTCTTTTGGAATCTAATACACAAAAGGTAAAAAAATCATGAGATCAACTTTTCAAATTTATTCAAATACTGATGCTTTCTTTTTCTTTCTCGCAAATAATGTTAACTTTTAATAATAATAACTCTAAGTTCATGGACAATTGCAAATTGATGCAAGATTTCATTCTTTGTTGCTGCTCAAACTTTGCCTTCTTTTTTTCTTACCAGAAACATGTCCACGTTTCGCTCACCAGAAGAGACAAAGATGTATGTACTTTTCTAACTGACATTACATTTTAAGAACAAAGTGTATTTCTTCCTATGTGTTCAAGAAAAATCAGGATATACTGCCCTCAGACCAGAGTTTCATTGTAGTTCAGCCATGCCCCCATAGCTTTGGCAGAGTTGAATAGTAGAAATATTGAAATGCTCTACAAAATTTCAAGTGTTTTCTGTCTGGACTTTTACACAGAAGGACTTCTCCTCTAACCAAACACCAAAGCTTAAGTCATTCTTTTTTTTCTTTTCTTTTTTTAAAATCTAGAACCTTTTAATTTTTTCCCTATTCCTATGGCAACTCTTTCTTCTTGCACATTTCACTTGCTCCCAAAACACCCATCGTATCTACAATACAACTTAGTCATGAAATCATGGCTTTGCTAACAATCTTTGTAGACAAAATACATTTTCCCTGTACTAACAGTGGTTGTTATAAACTACCAAACTAGGTAGATTTTTGAAAACTTAGTTGGTTTTTAAATTTGTATTTACAAATAAAGTAATTTTCACACTGGACTGCACCTCCAGTAGTTGAAAAAGGCCTGAGTGACCTCCATTTTTTTTGAGGGTCTGCATATATTAATAAATGCTAAATAGAGATTTAAAATGGTGTGATTTTTAAATGTTTTCTTAAACTAATGCTTTTAATGCAAAAAATTTCAATATGATTCTGTTAGTCACAACATATACAGGATCAAAAAATATATGTAGGAATCCATAGGACATTGGAATTGATTGGTCTGGGTTTCAGACACACCATGTCATATAATGAATGACTTCTTCATTCAATTCCTTCGGCTTTAATTATTTGTATGATAGCCTGGCAATTTGTAAAATAGTAAACTAAGGAAGAACTTTTTCTCTTGTTGCTCTTTCCTGCTCAAGTGAAATATTTTGTGATGGATTCAGAGCAGGTGGGAATATGAGTAGATTATAAGACCTTTCAAAGGTGGGGTAGAGTGGAAAAGTTTCAGAAATGTGATCATTGTTTGTTCTTGCGATGAAACAGGCAACCTGGAGGTTTGTTCAGTGCAAATGCCACCAACACCCCAGCTTCCAACTCTGCTACTACTCCTGTAAAGAAAAAGAGGTATGATGGGCTCGTTGGGGCTACCTCTTGCTGCAGTTCCGTAAGGGATTATTCTTTATTAATTTCGGAACCAAAACATCCACCAAGGCCCCCAGGCGGCGTCCAGAAGTTGCTCTGCCCTTCCTCATTATTCCCTCCTCCCCTTCCCAGGGGTCCAGTGCCTACTAGCTACTCCTGTCCTCAAACCTCAGTCCTTTCCCTACCACCCACAATCTCCCTTTCAAATATGCCAGCTTTTTTTCCCCAATTTTATTGAGACATAACTGACATACAACACTGTGTATGTTTAAGGTGTACAGTGTGATGGTTTGATTTACATATATTATGATCACCCCAATAGGTTTGATTGATATCCACCTATCATCTCATATAACATCCTTATGTCAATAAAAAGAAAAGAAAAAAATTCTCCTTTTGATGAGAACTCTTAAGATCTATTCTCTTAACAACTTTCCTATATATCATACAGGAGTGTTAACTATAGTCATCATGTTATACTTTGCATCCCTAGAACTTATTTATCTTATAACTCTATTGTCCTTTGTTGAATGATATTTTAAATGGATATAAAATAAATTGGTCTAAAGGGCAAAAAACCCAAAAAGGTAAGTTTGTACCTTTTGCCCACCTTCCTCCAATCCACCTGATTCCCCTGCCTCTGGTAACCACAAATCTGATCTCTTTTTCAAGTATGCTCTCTTAGGGTCTTGAATAACTAGGTAATGTTTTGATGACGGAGCTCAGATATTAAAGAGCAAGCTACTTCAGGTTATACATTTTAACAGAGTCCTACTACAGGGAATTCCTGCCCTGTGTGTAATAACTGCAGTGTGGCCAAGTGTCACCATGCTCCTGAAACCAGCCTGAATCTTGGATGCCTCCTCTGCTCTGTGCATTGTGCTACTTCCAAGTACAGAGTCAAAGGCCACGTCTTGAGGCCCCAGTCTGTGTTCTTGCGGTCATTCCTCTTTCAGCTTCCCCTGCGTGGCCTCGCAGTTTTGCCTGTGCTAAGTTCCATTTATCTAGTAGGCATGAAGAGGAGCTAGACTTTGGTGGTGCAATATTCTCCATGTGACAAAATGTGATGGCGGAAGTGATTTTTGCATGTTGAAGAGAACACTGTACCGGTGAATCATGATGCAAATGGAAAACAAGCATTCGTGAACCTCAGTGCTTTTGAAATTTTCTTATTTTCTTTGCCTGCTCCTAGGACTATGCCTGGGATAGGGTAGCTGCTCAGTGTTTGTTGATGGGCTGTCTGACGGTCATGGTGCTGCTATAGTCCTCCTGGAGAGAAATGGCTGATTCTATTTTCTCCTGCAGTCGGAATTTTGGTTGTATCTACTGTCTCAGAAAATACCACCACCTTTCTCTTAGACCCAAATTTCACATCCCCCGCCACCCCGATTCTGTGTCTGTTAAGAAAGGTTGGAAGGGAAATTTAAGGTCAGTTAGTTCAGTCTCCTACCCAGTGCAAGAATCGTTCCTCTGACACGTTAGGCATAATTCAGGACCACTGAAGCCAGCAATACGACTCTCACTTTTGTGATATGCCTTGACTAGCTCTCAGGGATTGCAATGAGCTGAAATCTGCTTTGATTTACTCCCATCCCACCTTAGTTCAGTCCTGTGATGCCTCAGAGAATAGATCAGCTTCAATAATTTAAAGGAGTCTCCTGTCCTTATCCCTTACTTTCCTTCTCTAGTCTATATTACTCTCCTCTGAACAGCTTCATTTTTGATCCTTAGCTTAGTCTTTTTGACAGTCCTTAGCTATCTCTACCAATTAAAATTATGTCCTGGTAATGTGAAGACACCTTTCTAATTGGATATATATGTGTGTGTGTATATATATATATATATATATATACACACACACACATAAATATATATGCATCTATATAAAATTGAGGTTAGCATTGCTGTGGTGTTCATTTATATTTTCAATATTCTTACTTGTCAGAGTTTCCTATCATTCAGTTTTTCTTTAAAACTGTATTTTGAGTAGAGCACAAGATTGTTGTTGTTTTTATTATGAAATGTTTCAGAAATGCAGAAAAATAAATACAGAGAGAGGTGTTTTGATGATAAGCAACCATGAGCTTACTATCTAGATTCAACAAGAGTTATTTGCCAGATTTCCTTCAGACTTTTTTTTTAACATCTTTATTGAAGTATAATTGCTTTACAATGGTGTGTTTGTTTCTGCTTTATAATAAAGTGAATCAGCTATACATATACATATGTTCCCATATCTATTCCCTCTTGCATCTCCCTCCCTCCCACCATACCTATCCCACCCCTCTAGGTGGTGACAAGGCACCAGGCTGATCTCCCTGTGCTATGCGGCTGCTTCCCACTAGCTATCGGATTTACAATGGGTAGTGTATACATGTCCATGCCACTCTCTCACATTGTCCCAGCTTACCCTTCCCCCTCCCTATGTCTGCAAGTCCATTCTCTAATAGGTCTGCGTCTTTATTCCCGTCCTGCCCATAGGTTCTTCATGACCATTTTTTTTTTATTCCATATATATGTGTTAGCATACAGTATATGTTTTTCTCTTTCTGACTTACTTCACTCTGTATGACTGACTCTAGGTCCACCCACCTCACTACAAATAACACAATTTCATTTCTTTTTATGGCTGTGTAATATTCCATTGTATATATGTGCCACATCTTCTTTATCCATTCATCTGTCGATGGACACTTAGGTTGCTTCCATGTCCTGGCTATTGTAAACAGAGCTGCAATGAACATTGTGGTACATGACTCTTTTTGAATTATGGTTTTCTCAGGGTATATGCCTAGTGGGATTGCTGGGTCATATGGTAGTCCTATTTTTACTTTTTAGACAAACCTCCATACTGTTCTCACAGTGGCTGTATCAATTTACATTCCCACCAACAGTGCAAGGGGGTTCCCTTTTCTCCACACCCTCTCCAGCATGTATTGTTTGTACATTTTTTGATCATGGCCATTCTGACTGGTGTGAGATGATATCTCATTGTAGTTTTGATTTGCATTTCTCTAATGATTAATGATGTTGAGCATTCTTTCATGTGTTTGTTGGCAATCTGTATATCTTCTTTGGAGAAATGTCTATTTAGGTCTTCTGCCCATTTTTGATTGGGTTGTTTGTACTTTTGATGTTGAGTTGCATGAGCTGGTTGTAAATTTTGGAGATTAATCCTTTGTCAGTTGCTTCATTTGCAAATATGTTCTCTCATTCTGAGGGTTGTCTTTTGGTCTTGTTTATGGTTTCCTTTGCTGTGCGAAAGCTTTTAAGTTTCATTAGGTCCCATTTGTTTATTTTTGTTTTAATTTCCATTTCTCTAGGAGGTGGATCAAAAAGGATCTTGCTGTGATTTATGTCATAGAGTGTTCTGCCTATGTTTTCCTCTAAGAGTTTGATAGTGTCTGGCCTTACATTTAGGTCTTTAATCCATTTTGAGTTTATTTTTGTGTATGGTGTTAGGGAGTGTTCTAATTTCATTCTTTTACTAGTAGCTGTCCAGTTTTCTCAGCACCACTTATTGAAGAGGCTGTCTTTTCTCCATTGTATATTCTTGCCTCCTTTACCAAAAATTAGGTGACCATAGGTGCGTGGGTTTATCTCTGGGCTTTCTATTCTGTTCCATTGATTTACATTTCTGTTTTTGTGCTGGTACTATACTGTGTTGATTACTGTAGCTTTGTAGTATAGTCTGAAAACAGGGAGCCTGATTGCTCCAGCTCTGTTTTTCTTTCTCAAGGTTGCTTTGACTATTCGCAGTCTTTTGTGTTTCCATACAAATTGTGAAATTTTTTGTTCTAGGTTTGTTCTAGGTCTGAAAAATGCCATTGGTAGTTTGATAGGGATTGCATTGAATCTGTAGATTGCTTTGGGTAGTATAGTCATTTTCACAATGTTCATTCTTCCAGTCCAGGAACATGGTATATCGCTCCATCTGTTTGTATCATCTTTAATTTCTTTCATCAGTGTCTTATACTTTCCTGCATACAGGTCTTTAGTCTCCATAGGTAGGTTTATTCCTAGGTATTCTATTCTTTTTGTTGCAATGGTAAATGAGAGTGTTTCCTTAATTTCACTTTCAGATTTTTCATCATTAGTGTATAGGAATGAAAGAGATTTGTGTGCATTAATTTTGTATCCTGCTACTTTACCAAATTTATTGATTAGTTCTAGTAGTTTTCTGGTAGCATCTTTAGGATTCTCTATGTATAGTATCATGTCATCTGCAAACAGTGACTGCTTTACTTCTTCTTTTCTGATTTGAATTCATTTTATTTCTTTTTCTTCTCTGTTTGCTGTGGCTAAAACTTCCAAAACTATGTTGAATAATAGTGGTGAGAGTGGGCAACCTTGTCTTGTTCCTGATCTTAGTGGAAATGGTTTCAGTTTTTCACCATTGAGGAGATGTTGGCTGTGAGTTTGTCATATGTGGCCTTTATTATGTTGAGGTAAGTTCCCTCCATGCCTACTTTCTGGAGGCTTTTTATCATAAATGGGTGTTGAATTTTGTCAAAAGCTTTTTCTGCCTCTATTGAGATGATCATGATCATATGGTTTTTCTCCTTCAATTTGTTAATATGCTGTATCACACTGATTGATTTGCATGTATTGAAGAATCCTTGCATTCCTGGAATAAACCCCACTTGATCACGGTGTATGATCTTTTTAACGTGCTGTTGCGTTCTATTTGCGAGTATTTTGTTGAGGATATTTGCACCTATGTTCCTCGGTGATATTGACCTGTAGTTTTCTTTCTTTGTGACATCTTTGTGTTGTTTTGGTGTCAGGGTGATGGTGGCCTCATAGAATGAGTTTGGGAGTGTTCCTCCCTCTGCTATATTTTGGAAGAGTTTGAGAAGGATAGGTGTTAGCTCTTCTGTAAATGTTTGATAGAATTCGCCTGTGAAGCCATCTGGTCCTGGGCTTTTGTTTGTTGGAAGATTTTTAATCACAGTTTCAATTTCAGTGCTTGTGACTGGTCTGTTTATATATTCTATTTCTTTCTGGTTCAGTCTTGGAAGGCTGTGCTTTTCTAAGAATTTGTCCATTTCTTCCAGGTTGTCCATTTTATTGGCATATAGTTGCTTGTAGTAATGTCTCATGATCCTTTGTATTTCTGCAGTGTCAGTTGTTACTTCTCCTTTTTCATTTCTAATTCTGTTGATTTGAGTGTTCTCCCTTTTTTTCTTGATGAGTCTGGCTAATAGGTTATCAATTTTGTTTACCTTCTCAAAGAACCAGCTTTTAGTTTTATTGATCTTTGCTTCTGTTTCCCTCATTTCTTTTTCATTTATTTCTCATCTGATCTTTATGACTTCTTTCCTTCTGCTAACTTTGGGGTTTTTTTGTTCTTCTTTCTCTAATTGGTTTAAGTGTACAGTTAGGTTGTTTATTTGAGATGTTTCTTGTTTCTTAAGGTAGGATTGTATTGCTATAAACTCCCTTCTTAGAACTGCTTTTGCTGCATCCTATAGGTTTTGGGTCGCTGTGTTTTCATTGTCATTTGTTTCTAGATATTTTCTGGTATCCTCATTGATTTCTTTAGTGATCTCTTGGTTATTTAATAGTGTATTGTTTACCCTCCATGTGTTTGTATTTTTTACAAATTTGTTCCTGTAATTGATATCTAGTCCCATAGCACTGTGGTTGGAAAAGATAATTGATACGATTTCAATTTTCTTAAATCTACCAAGGCTTGATTTGTGACCCAAGTTTGATCTATCCTGGAGAATGTTCCATGAGCACTTGAGAAGAAATTGTATTCTGTTGTTTTTGGATGGAATGTCCTATAAATAACAATTAAGTCCATCTTGTTTAATGTATCATTTAAAGCTTGTTTTTCCTTATTTATTTTCATTTTGGATGATCTGTCCATTGGTGAAAGTGGGGTGTTAAGTCCCCTACTATGATTGTGTTACTGTCGATTTCTCCTTTTGTGGCTGTTAGCATTTGCCTTATGTATTGAGGTGCTCCTATGTTGGGTGCATAAATATTTACAATTGTTATATCTTCTTCTTGGATTGATCCCTTGATCATTATGTAGTGTTCTTCTTTGTCTCTTGTAATAGTCTTTATTTTAAAGTCTATTTTGTCTGCTATGAGAACTGCTACTCCAGCTTTCTTTTGATTGCCATTTGCATGGAATATCTTTTTCCATCCCCTCACTTTCACTCTGTATGTATCCCTAAGTTTGAAGTGGGTTTCTTGTAGACAGCATATATACTGGTCTTGTTTTTGTATCCATTCAGCCAGTCTATGTCTTTTGGTTGGAGCATTTAAACCATTTACATTTAAGGTAATTATCGATATGTGTGTTCCTATAAACATTTTCTTAATTGTTTTTGGTTTTTATTGTAGGTAAAAATTTTCCTTCTCTTTTGTTTCCTGCCTAGAGAAGTTCCTTTAGCTTTTGTTGTAAAGCTGGTTTGGTGCTGCTGAATTCTCTTAGCTTTTGCTTTTCTGTAAAGGTTTTAATTTCTCCATCGAATTTGAATGAGATCCTTGCTGTGTAGGGTAATCTTGGTTTTTCCCTTTCATCACTTTAAATATGTCCTGCCACACCCTTCTGGCTTGCAGAGTTTCTGCTGAAAGATCAGCTGTTAACCTTATGGGGATTCTCTTGTATGTTATTTGTTGTTTTTCCCTTGCTGCTTTTAATATTTTTTCTTTGTATTTAATTTTTGATAATTTGATTAATATGTGCCTTGGCATGTTTCTCCTTGGATTTATCCTGTATGGGATTCTCTGCACTTCCTGGACTTGATTAACCCTTTCCTTTCCCATATCAGGGAAGTTTTCAACTATAATGTCTTTAAATATTTTCTCAGTCCCTTTCTTTTTCTCTTCTTCTTCTGGGACCCCTATAATTCAAATGTTAGTGCATTTAATGTTGTCCCAGAGGTCTCTGAGACTCTCCTCAATTCTTTTCATTCTTTTTTCTTTATTCTGCTCTGCAGTAGTTATTTCCACTATTTTATCTTCCAGGTCACTTATCCGTTCTTCTGCCTCAGTTATTCTTTTATTGATTCCTTCTAGAGAATTTTTAATTTCATTTATTATGTTGTTCATCATTGTTTGTTTGCTCTTTGGTTCTTCTAGGCCCTTGTTAAACGTTTCTTGTAATTTCTCCATTCTATTTCCAAGGTTTTGGATCATCTTTACTATAATTATTCTGAATTCTTTTTCAGTTGGACTGCCTATTTCCTGTTCATTTGTTTTGTGTGGTGGGTTTTTACCTTACTCCTTCATCTGCTGTGTGCTCCTCTGTTTTCCCACTTTGCTTAACTTACTGTGTTTGGGGTTTCCTTTTCGCAGGCTACAGGTTCGTAGTTCCCATTGTTTTTCATGTCTGCCCCAAGTGGCTAAGGTTGGTTCAGTGGGTTGTGTACGTTTCCTGTTGGAGCGGACTAGTGCCTGTGTTCTGGTGGGTGTGGCTGGATCTTGTCTTTCTGCTGGGCAGACCCGCATCTGGTGTTGTGTTTTGGGGTGTCTGTGACCTTATTATGATTTTAGGCAGCCTCTGTACTAATGGATGGGGTTGTGTTCCTGTCTTGCTAGTTGTTTGGCAATGGGTGTCCACTGGAGCTTGCTGGTCGTTGAGTGGAGCTGGGTCTTGGTGTTGAGATGGAGATTTCTGGGAGATTTTTGCTTTTTGATATTACATGGAGCTGGTGGGTCTCTGGTGGACCAGTGTCCTGAACTTGGCTCTCCCACCTCAGAGGCACAGACCTGACGCCCAGTCAGAGCACCAAGACCCTGTCATCCACATGGAAAAAGAGAAAAAGGGAAAATATATATATATGTCGTTGTTCCCAAAGTCAACCTCTTCAATTTGGGATGATTCGTTGTCTATTCAGGTATTCCACAGTTGCAAGGTACATCAGGTTGATTGTGGAGCTTTAATCTGCTGCTCCTGAGGCTTCTGGGAGGGATCTCCCTTTCTCTTCTTTGTTTGCACAGCTCCTGTGGTTCAGCTTTGGATTTCAGCCTGCCCCTGCGTGTAGGTTGCCTGAGGGTGCCTACTCCTTACTCAGAGAGGATGGGGTTAAGGTAGCATCTGACTAGGGGGCTCTGGCTCACTCAGGCCGTGGGGGGAGGGAGACGTACTGAATACGGGGAGAGCCTGCGTGGCAGAGGCCAGTGTGACATTGCACCAGCCCGAGGCACACCGTGTGTTCTCCCACGGAAGTTGTCCCTGGATCACGGGACGGTGGCAGTGGCGGGATGCACAAGCTCCCGGGAGGGCAGGTGTGGATAGTGACCTGTGCTCGCACACAGGCTTCTTGGTGATGGCAGCAGCAGCCTTAGAGTCTCATGCCCGTCTCTGGGGTCCGCGCTTTTAGCCGTGGCTCGTCTCGAGCTCCGTCTCTGGAGCTCCTTTAAGCGGCACTCTGAATCCCCTTTCCTCGCGCACCAGGAACTAAAGAGGCAAGAAAAAGTCTCTTGCCTCTTCGACAGCTCCAGACTTTTTCCCGGACTCCCTCCCGGCTAGCCGTGGCGCATTAACCCCCTGCAGGCTATGATCACGCAGCCAACCCCAGTCCTCTCCCTGGGATCCGACCGAAGCCCGAGCCTCAGCTCCCAGCCCCGCCCGCCCTGGTGGGTGAGCATGTAAGCCTCTTGGGCTGGTGAGTGCTGGTTGGCACCGATCCTCTGTGCAGGAATCTCTCCATTTTGCCCTCCACACCCCTGTTGCTGCGCTCTCCTCCGCGGATCCGAAGCCTCCCCCTTCCGCCACCCCCTATCTCTGCCAGTGAAGGGGCTCCTAGTGTGTGGAAACCTTTCCTCCTTCACAGCTCCCTCCCACTGGTGCAGGTCCCGTCCCTATTATTTTGTCTCTGTTTTTTCCTTTCTCTTTTGCCCTACCCAGGTATGTGGGGACTTTCTTGCCTTTTGGGAGGTCTGAGGTCTTCTGCCAGCGTTCAGTAGGTGTTCTGTAGGAGTTGTTCCACGTGTAGATGTATTTCTGATGTTATTGTGGGGAGGAAGGTGATCTCTGTGTCTTACTCTTCCACCATCTTGAAGCCCCTCCCCCAGATTTCTTTTTAAAGAAATGTCTACATTGTTTAGTGTCAAAGGAAATGGGAAAAGAGGTTTACTTGGAAATGGGAAAAGGGGTTTAGTATATTCCAAATAGCCTGGAATATAGACAGTTACTTCCTATGGCAGGAAGTAAGTAGTTTTCATTTTATTTCCAAGACCTTGTAGGAAAGTCATCTTATTGCCTTTTTAACTGTCAATTTATTTTCAGCTTTTCCTGGTAGACATGTGGGTGGGGTCAAGCCTTTCCATGTTTATAATTGATGTCATTTCTTAACAGACAGTCCTGGTTTCCACCGCCCCCTCCAGGTTGTAAGGCCGCCCCAAGCACAGGAGCGAGCAGAAGGTAAGCGAAAGGTGTCAGAGGTAATTGAGATGTCATGTGATGGAAGAATCTGTTAGATATTGACAACGTATAATTGGGATGCTTTGGAATAAACTGGGGGCAATTTTGTGAATTCTGAGAACTGAATAAGACAGTGCCCAGTGAAAGTGAGGTCAGGATACAAGTGGCCCTGGTAGGAAATCTGACAAGTTTTGAGGAGTAAGTGCCTGTATTTTTAGTTTGCTAAGGGTTGCTTTAACAAAGTACCATAAAATGGGTAGCTTAAAAGAAATTTATTGTCTTACAGTTCTGGAGGCTAGAAGTCCAAGATCAAGGTGTCAGCAGGGTTCCTTCTGAGGGTTGTGAGAGGGGATCTGTCCCACCCTTTCTCCTGGCTTCTGGTGTTTTCCTAGCAATCTCTGGCGTTCCCTAGTTTGTGTGTAAGCACCATCCCAAGATAATACTTTAAGATCCATCCAGTTTTTTCTTGATAGACAGTAACTGACACTTAGAAATATTTATCACTTATTTCCAAGAAATATTTATCACTTATTTCCAAAATAACTTATTTTTATCTTCTATTTATTATTCCATTATTAATGTAAATCATCATCATAATAAGCAACTGTTTATATAACTTTGTAAAGATACAAAAGGATTATTCATGAGCTAACATCTCATGTGTTCAATGCCCATTCAGCTGTGGATCTCTGTTTGCACAGAACTGATAGTGCTTGGCTATATGCCCTTCCGATTTATTCATAGCTGGATGTGATTTACATGGAAGATAAAATAAGTTACAATGCTCCTATTTCTGATTCTTGGATCAGATCCCTAGCACCGGAACTAAGGGAGAGGGAAGATTATTGGATAAGGTTGGTGAATTTAGATATCCATTCCTTTTTCCGAGTCACAGATTATTAATATAATGGCTAGACTGAAAGACTTCTCTTCAAGGATCAGAGCTAATGTCATGCCAAGCTTTCAGGGGAAGGAGAGAATAATAACACTATAGCAATGCCTTTGATTTCTAAAGTGCTTTTCTTTGGAAGAGCTCAAAGTACAATTTCTGTTTCTCACCTTTAATGTCAGTGCATTCTCAGGGCTGAGAAGTAGCCTTTTTAGTAAAAACTGAAAAATAGAAGCAATTATTAAATGATGAAAGGAAGCACAGTCTTCAAAGAGAGATCTTTGTCCCCAGAAGAACAAAAAGAAAATGAAAATAGGTCAAAAACAGATAATCATGAACGACTACGATTTTTAATACTCACTAATAGCTCAATGCTAAGCTTATTTCCCTTCAACCTTTGCTTATTCACTGGTCTACTTCTCCCTTCCTCTCCCCTCCTATCTTACGCAAAAGAATTTCCCCTTAATACCAACACTCTCACTCTCATTTCTGTTCTTCGTTTTGTGAACCTTCATTTTTTCCATCACCTAATCTTTCCCAGAGATTTCATTTTCTCCTACACACCCATTCCCAATCATTACAGGAATAGGTCATTTTCCCAAACTTTGTTCCCCCTTGACCTCTCCATGATCTTTGATACCATGGACCATCCCATCCATCCCTCAGTTGTTCCTTTCTTGACTTACATAGTGTGGAAGAACCAAACTTAGTTGTGTTTGGATTAAAATCTATTACAGGCATGATATAAGCTGTACCCAAAGGGTCTTAAGCTTTTTTATCAACAGAAGAACCCATGATATCACACTGTCATCTATATTTATATGTATATCTATACCTATGACTCTGTAAGTCTGTGTTTATGTCTATATGTATTTCTACATCTAGAACTATATCTACGTGTAATTCTCTATATATAATTAACATAAGGTTGGTGAGTTCAACTAGCGCTTAAATGAGCATATTTAATTTTCTAAAATAACCAATGTTATAGCTAAAGAAAAAAAAGAAATTTTTTTTAATGATTGAGCAACAAATAAAATGAATTTTTACTTCATTGAGTTGGTAGTAAACATAAAATTCACTACTAGAAAGGTTGGGCAGGAAACGTAATTGAATTATAAGAAGGTCAAAATAAGTGTTATGAAATTATATTATACAAACTACATAAAAACTTGGAAAATTATGATGTTATAATTTTAAAAAGAAAAAACAGAACTAAAATTAAATGCATATCACAAATACAGTAATATAAAAATATGGAAGCTTGGGACAAAAGATAGAGGGATTTATAAAAATGAAAATAATTGTAGTTAAGATTTTTTTTCACATTTTTAAATTGGATTTTTTAAATTAGTTATCTATTTTATACATATTAGTGTATATATGTCAATCCCAATCTCCCAATTTATACCCTCCCAAAAAAAGCAATTTCTTAAAACAAGTATCATTCTATGTATGAAATACATTAGCCTTGCAATAAGAGGGTTAAGATCTGGGAGATCAAACAAAATTTTGGAGTTAAAAGTCAAATATATTTGAAAGCCTCTTGCTCCCTTTTTGATAAAACAAGATTAAAGAGAGAAGCTATAATTCATGATAGTAAGACATAGCAGGTAAATTTCTGAGCTTAAATAAAACTTTTTCTAGCTGATTTCATGCTCCTTGGTCATTGGATGTAAATGTCCTCTGATAGTCTCTTCCTTCTCTTATTGAGAAGGGAAACGATCAATATAGTGTTTTGAATGACCAACCTGTGTCAACAAGATTATTTCCTCTGAAATCTTCTTTTCAAATGCCATCAGAACCTGTCATTTCTTTTCATTTTAATCAGGACTGAATCAATCTTTAGCGTTATAATTTTTGTTCCTCATTACATTGATCTGTCTCTCCTACCTATATGATCAAACCCCTGCTTCACTGTTTCCCCCCCTCTTCCATGTTCAAATCCCTTTCATCTTAAAAAAACAGCCTCTAAAAATTAATAGCCTAATCTTATAAATCTGTTTAGCTGGCACCCTGTCTCTCCATCACAGCCAAATTTCTCAGAAGGGTTGATGACACTGGCCACCTTCATCTTCTGGTTCCTATCATTAGTTCATGGAAACAACTCTCCTCAAGGTCACTAATGACCTTGCTGATACATTCTTGTTGACATATCCGTCCCTATGACTAACTGACCTTTCAAAAGCTGCCACTGGCTATTCATGCCTTTAAAAATCTTGTCTCTCATTGTCTTTTGAAACCGTCCTCCTCCCACCAACCCCAACACACTCTTGGGTTTTTTTCTGTTGTTGTTGTTGTTTACAGGCATACCTTGTTTAATTTCACTTTGCTTTATGGTGCTTTGCAGATACTGTGTTTTTTACAAATTGAAGTTTTGTGGGGACCCTGTGCATTAGTGCCGTTTTTCCAAAAGCATTTGCTCACTTCATGTCTCTGTGTCACATTTTGATAATTCTCACAATATTTCAAACATTTTTGTTATTATTGTATTTATTATAGTGATCCATGATCACTGATCTTTGATGTTGCTGTTACAAAAAGATTGTGACATGCTGAAGGCTCAGATGATGGTTAGCATTTTTTAGCAATACAGTATTTTTAATTAAGGTGTATACATCATTTTTTTAGACATACTGCTATTGCACACTTAATAGACTACAGTGTAGTGTAAACACACCTTTGACATGTGTTGGGAAATCAAAACACTAGCTGTGACTTGCTTTATTGCGATATTCACTTTATTGAAGTGATCTGGAATTGAACCCACAATATCTCTGAGGTGTGCCTACATTTCTCTAGCCATTTTATCTCAGCTGCCTTTGCTACTTCACCATCCTCTACCAAGCCCTTAAATGCTGATGTTCCTAAAGACTTAATATCCCTCTTCTCTTCTTGCTTAGTGTCTGCCTTTTGACAAGTCATCCATGCCCATGGCTTCAGTGGCCACTTGTATGCTCCTGACTCCTTTGCTTATATCCACTCCACACCTTGTCTCTGAGTTACCTTTGGTTAGTCAACTGCCTACTTGACACCTTCACTTAAATATCCCAAAAGTATTGCAGACTCAACAGGTTCAAAACAAAGTTCATAATTCTCTTCACTAACCTTGTCCTCTATCTCAATAACACTATCCTCTAGTCAATTGATGTCCTTGAAATCTTGAAGTCTTTTTTATACCTTTCTTCCCTTAACCACCAGTATCCAATCCATCAGCAAATCCTGTCAATTTACCTCCCAAATGCCTCTTGAATCTACATACCTCTCTCCATTTATATCATCATATCTCCCCTGAACTACAACAATAGCTACCTAAATGTTCTCCCTTTATTCACCCTGATATCCACTCCCCTAATCTCTTGCCTACACAGTTGCCAGGCTGATATTTTTAGAAGGATAATTGGAACATATCACCCTCCTAAATAAAAATACGACTCTTCATTGTTCTTAGAATAAAGACCCAAATCCTTAGCATTAACTACCTGTCCTTACTTCCCTTCCATCCCTCGTCATTCCCCCTTGCCCTCTGTTCCAGTCACTTAATCTGTGTTAAATGTGCTATACTCCCACCTTCTACAGACCCTTAGCATATAAGGTTTCCTCTGCCCGGTGTGCTGTCTTCTCCCCCATCCAGGGCACTGTGTCCTTGGGCCCATGTTTTGATCTGATCTCTCTTCAAAGTGGCACTTCTGACTGTTCTCTGTTCTGTTCTCTCTTCTCCACATTAACTCAGACATTGAGGATGGCAGCTTCTTTTCCTTGATTTGTCCAAATACTATTTGCATTAACATTCAAATAAAGATATGGGATGATGGGAGTAGCAATACATTGTAAAAGCCCAGACCAAACGATGTAAAATGTAGTTTTAGAAATTCCTGTTTGTAAGTTCTTTGGCCACTCCTGTAATTGACCATTTCTCATTGGTTGACATTTCTCTACAAGCCTGACCCTGTTGCTATTTTGCTCAGCAGCCCCCCTTCTTCTTTCTTCCACCTCTCTTTTTCTCTTTTTCACCTTCCTTTCTTCTTCTTTCCCCTCTAACCCCCACCCCCTAAATTCTTATTAATTACTTATCCCTGGTAGTTTAGTTGTCTTTTGCTGTCCCAGGCTA